TTGAATTAAGTTATCGAACTTACATATTTAATTCTAGTATTATACTTTACATTTATATCTTGTGTATTATATTGTTTTGAGACTAAGTGTCGAAAAAGTTTTAAAAACCAATTCATCCCCCTCTTGGTTAGTTATTCTTGAGCCTACAATGTGTTTGATACATGTTGGAGTCTACACGACTATCAAACCAATTCCTTTCACCTCTACATAATCTCCATTACCTAATTTGACTCTGGATCTGTATGCTTTATTCAGTTCAACAAAGATATTGAAATCTGCAGTCATGTGGTGAGTACAAACACTATCCAGTAGCCAAGTTCCAACACTGCTGCAGACCTTAATAGCAGTAAACAGATGTTCCTCATGCTGCTCTTGCCGATTTTCTACAAACTATGCCTGCTGATGAGTATGCTTCTCCTTTTGATTTTTGCAAACTTTCTCAATATGTCCGAATTGTTTACAGGCCCTACATTGAACTCTAGGCCTATACCAATACTATTTAGGGGAATGTCCCTTTTTTTTTTTTGCAGTGAGGACAGAGAGCATACTTTATACCTTTACTTCCATTTTTGCTTCATTCAACCTATTTCTTTTCAAACTGTTGTTTTTTCATTTCAAAGCTCGTTTGAGCTTTATGTTTAACAAACAATGTTCATTCAGTTTGCTCCTCCTGCCTAATAAGCCTTCTTTGCTCAGTGGCTCAAAGCGCATTCACCAGCTCTGACAGAGTTATTGAAGACATGTCTCTCGAGTCTTCAAGTGATGAAATCTTTGCTTCAAACTTCCCAGGTAGGCTTAATAAAACCTTTTCCACTACCCTTTTATTAGGCAAATCATCCCCCAACAATCTTATTTGATTTACCACCTTCATCAGCCTATTTGAGATATCCTTTACAGTTTCTGAATAATTCATCTTTAAAGTCTCAAACTCCCTTCTAAGATTCAACAATTGCATTTGCCTCGTCCTTTCATTACCGTGGAATTCTTCTTTTAATCTATCACAGTTTCCTTTATAGTTGCACAATTCATGATTCTTGTGAATATTGCATCAGAGACAGCAGATTGAATGCAAGAGAGAGCCTTGAACTTCATTGCAACCTCCTCATTGTGCTTCTTCAACTGAGCAATGTGGGATTTGTTCTAAGAGGTGGAGGCTCAATTCCAGTTTCGGTGATTTCCCACAAATTGTAAGCCTTCAAATATGCCTTCATTTTTGCAGCCCAGAAATCATAATTCTCTCATGTGAAGGTAGAAGGTAAAGGTGCTAAAAAACCACTTGAAGCCATCACACTTATTCTCAAATCATTCGGCTATTGATGGAAGGTAGCTTGCTGGTTGCTTGCTGATCTTCCTTTCCAAATCCCATTGTATAATTTTCACTTCCCTTTCTAAGATCAGGACTGCTCTGATACCACTGAAGGATTATTGATTCAAAGAGAATGAATGTTGAACTTCATTTTTAAAACGTCTAAAATTTATAGGCTGATTCATTACATTACCTAATATATATTTCATTACGAGAAGTTTCTAGCACCAATGATAGTCAACAGCTCCATACCTACTGCAAGTTAACTTGTTGACAACTTTTCTAATGATTATACAAAAACCATACTTATGAAATATTTCAAAAAGTTACACTACCAACCATTGTCCTTAATTCAATTGATTATAGGTACAAAAATCATCATACTTTAGCAACAAAAGTGTCAATCGAATCTCAACAGAGAGTCAAATTGTTTGAATAATTCTTCAATTTCGGGGGCATTGCATGCCTTGATTTTATTGAAGTTCTTCATAATTGATCGCTCATTTCAAATAAATTGTCATCTTTGTTTATAATCTCAACTTCATCTATCTGGTTAAACTGCTTTGAATGCAATGGCTTTATCATTTTTCCGTTGGTTTAGATTCATCTCATATTCTTTGAAGTCTTTTCGTGATCTTTGAAATACTACGCGTGTCCTTCTTCCACGGAAATAATCCTATGCTTTTAGATCTGAGCCACTATAACCTTATTAAAACTTGCTTTTGGATTGCTCTACCATTACATACTCCTTGGACTTGACTATGGCTTAACCATAACATCAGTGGTTTCATACAAATAAGCACAATTTATATGAACCAGAGTTATGCTACATGTACAAAGTTGGATTACAAAGTTAGTTTACAAAATAATATCTACACCAATCATTTTAAAAATAGATTTACATGAACCCGAGTTATGCTACATGTACAAAGTTGGGTTACAAAATTAGTTGACAAAATCATATCTACACCAATCATTTTAAAAATAGATTTTTAAATCATTTGAAATCAACTATTTGGATTTTGCCAACACACTTTGTAACCCAACTTTTGTAACTCAACTTTATACAAATAGCTTTATTAAACCCGGATTGCCAAAAAGATGCCAACAATATAGTCCTAACAATATCCTTAGTCAAGTCAATATCAATCGTGATCCACGTCAAAATTGACTACGTGTTAGGTCAAATGGATCCCAACCTGAGTTAAATTGATTTAGATTTCGGTTTATCCCATCGCTATTAACTTGAGTCGAGTGCAATAGAACCCAGTGGGAGAATATGAACAGATTAGTTAATAAAAATTTATAGAACATATTGAATGTGCCACTGCATTAGCTTCACGACAAATAAATAAGATTTTTACATCACGGAAAGATGGCATGGCCTACTGAATACTTCAAAGAATAGCCACTTCTGGCTTCTATTGTATGAAGACACGGTCTCTTTACTGCAATCAGATTCCATAAATTTTCTTAATAGCACACTTCAGCCCCTCCAACATGGCCAGACACTTCCCCACATAAGGTTCCAAGGATCCCGGGACTGTTTTAGATGCCATCCCGATCATCCTGCCCTCTGAGTTCCGGCAAAGAAGAAAAAAAAAGGTTGGTACAATTCCGAGTTACGGTTTGAAAGCTATAACCGTTTCGTGAGAGTTGTATAAAATTGAAAAAAAAAAATTGAACTTTGCAAGCAGATTGAACAACCATTTACCTTGCTTGTATTTTTGAATTACCCTCCATGATCAAATTATCTGCATAACGTGAAAAATTCAATAATGAACGAAAACTAATAAAGAGCACAAGAATTTAAGTGTTTCAGCACCATTGCGGCAAACCTACATTCACGGAAGAAGAAAGACCTTAGTGTATTCACTTATGTTTGGAGTTTAAAATGAAACACATATATAATCATGTTACATCAAGGTAGCCTTATTAAGGATGAAGCAATCAAGGAAGTAAGATAATCGAATTATGGAAATATTTCAATTGTAGTTAATCAAATCAGCCATAGTATATTCTCCAATATTACCAATATCCACCAAATCACGCCATAATCCAATATCCACAAATATCTCTCTTCTCGAAGACTCCAACAACAATATACAGAACATGACAATGTTTGATTCTTTTTTAGAAGAACTAAAGAAGTCAGCTTTTTTGGACAGTATTACTTTTTATAATACCATATCTTGCCCTATTTATTTTCAAGTGACACTCTGAAATACATTTGCATTAGTTTAGATCACTAAGGATGTTGTCTAAAAAAACATGCAATTTTAGAATTTAGATAAGAGCGATGGTGAAATTTCAAGAACCCATGAAAATTACTGATACAAGAAGCAGAAAGAAACCAAATACAGTCCGGGGAAGAAAATACCCTCTACACTAATTTATCGCCGTATTAAAACACAATATTTTCATCGGCCTCCAGAGAGGAGGGAATTTGAAACTGAGGAAGTTTGAGTAAATACTGTTTGAGAAGAAGAAGAAGGATACGACCACAAGGGGATACCATCACACCCTTCATCATGTTGCGCACAATATTTTCATCGGCCTCCAGAGAGGAGGGAATTTGAAACTGAGGAAGTTTGAGTAAATACTGTTTGAGAAGAAGAAGAAGGATACGACCACAAGGGGATACCATCACACCCTTCATCATGTTGCGCAAATTTTTGGCCACTTGCAGACAATTCTGGCGGAGACAATGCGCCTTCCAGATACAACATAACCTGACGCATGCTAGGCCTAAATTTCGGCTCTGAATGAGAACATAGCAAACCGAGCTTTAACACTATTTCCACCTCCTCTTTTAAATAATCATTACTTAAATTTGGATCGACTGCCTGGAAAATGTCACCTTCGTTCCAGTAGGAAAACACTTGATCTACCAATATTAGATCATTAGGGGCAGCTTTGGGATCTATTGGCCTTCTCCCGCAGGCAACCTCAAGCAAAAATGCCCCAAAAGCATACACATCAGTGCTTGTTGTGGCCTTCCCTGTTCTATTTTGCTCTGGGGCAAGGTACCCCAGTGTCCCGACCACGCGAGTCGTCCGATGGTCTTCCCCATGATCGTACAATCTTGCAAGCCCAAAATCACCTAATCTTCCATTCAATTCCCCATCTAATAAGACATTACTCGCCTTTATATCTCTGTGGATTACGACTTGCTCCCACTCTTCGTGTAGGTAAAGTAATCCAGATGCTACACCTTTGATGACTCGAAATCTTTGGTCCCAATTGAGGGTGAACTTTGGTTGATCATGAAGAAACTTGTCTAGGCTTCCATTCGGCATGTATTCATAGACTAACAGAAGTTCGCTTTTACGCCGACAGTATCCCAGCAGAGGCACCAGATTCCGATGGCGTAGTCGACCCATGCTTGCAATTTCTGCCACAAATTCTTTCATCCCCTGTCTTGATTCGTGAGACACCCTCTTAACAGCAATCTCAGATTTAGATCTAGGCATCACACCTTTGTATACTTTTCCAAATCCTCCCCTACCCAGAATCTCCTTATCTCTAAACCCTTTAGTGGCCTTGTACAAATCTTTAAACTTGAACCTCTGAGGAGAGTAATCACGCTCCCACTCTTCAAGCACTTCTGCGAATTTCCTCCTCCTGTTGACATAACAAACTACTCCCCATATGGCTAGTGACACCGAAACCACACCAATAACCGGCAAATAAATGGTTAAAACCTTCGATATCGTCTTGGGACCAACACGAGGTAGTTTAGGAAGTCGAGAGAGATCAAGCGATTGAGCCATACCATTGATCTTGAAACTCCATCCAAGAACATAATGGGAAGTTATTTGTATAGGGCCAGTTGCAGAGGAAAAGCCAGCAAACATAGTTGGTTTTAAGACATGTGATAAATCATAGGATATCTGCAGAAGAGTTCTATTTGGCTTGGAATATTGCAGTGGAGCTAATGTAACAGAGATTTGCTTCTCCATACCGTCATATTCAACCCAAAGTTGCATTGGTTGCCCACTGTTAAGTGTCAAATTATGAAACAAATCCTTATTATCCCAATACCCTGATGTATTTGAAGATACAGATTTCATTCCATTAATATCGATACCAACATGGTTATCGTCGATATCTTGAATGTCGACATTTTTTAATGAATCGAGTTCCACTCCAAAAATATGGTTGGAAAACTTGCCATTGTTGGTTTGATTGAATAGGCCAAAGTATAATCCCGGACTGGCTCCTTCAAAGCTTTTACTCGGCGAAAGCACGAAAATAATTCCCTGACCGCCCAAATTCTGATAGCCAGACACCATTGCAAAAACAAAGTATGTAGAAAAGGAAAAAGCTGGGGCATAAGAGGAATTCTTGAATATAATGGGATCAGGATAAAAGGCATGACCTTTCTGTTGTGTGGTGGAATTGGTTAGTTTCAAGAGACCGTTGGGCGTGATCCTTGCCATGCCGTCGAGGCTCAAATTTGCCGATCGAAATCCATTGTAAGTGAATTCATCGACAGATTTTGAGGTTGTGAGAAAACTGATTATGTAAAAAATCAGTGCTGCAAGTTTGAGAGGGACCATGGCTGAATCTTGGAGCAAAGGGTCTTGCAAAGTCTATGCTGTAATGTGATAACAGTGCTATAATTTAAGAATAAAGCTATTTGTACAAAAAGAATTTGACAAAAACGTTCACAAACACTCACATGATTGCCGATCCCACATGAATAAAAAATTGAAAATAAAAAGTGGGCCCCCCACATGTGAGGGTTTGTCAACATTTTTGTACAAATTTTTTTGTACAAGTAGCAAGGTTCATAATTTAATGTTGTCGTTATTGCTCATGCTGTCAACAAAGTACGATTGATTAGTTGTATGTATTATTCACCACACAGTTCAGTGGTCCTATTCTTGGTGAGCATTGAATTTATGAATAGTAGAAATTTTTGTTTCTGAATCTTAACTATCTTCTTAAAATTTGTTAACTCGCCTTGAATTTTGAATTTTAAGAGGGTGTTTTCAATTGGGATTTTGAAGATTTTAATGGTCGTTTTTTAAGTTATTACTGAATTTCGTAGATTTTTTAGAGATTTGTATAAATTTTAGTGGAAGTTTTTTTGGATTTTTATAGACTTTCATTTTAAAACTTTTATAAAATTCAAAAAAAAATTAAACACTTTCATTTGAAATATCTAATGCAATATTGTGAAATTATCACATAGAAGATTGTACTAACTTTTCACAATTCCCCTTCTCTTTCCCTTTCCGCCCATATAATTAAAAAAAAATATTTTAGAAAGGAAAAAAAAATTAAGACCTTAATTAAATAAATAATAATAATAATACATATAAAAAAATAAATTTAAT